TCCAGGTTGAGCTGTTGTTCAGCATCTTAGCTGTGGAGGGCAGTGTCACTGGCCCTCATATGTGGGATCCGAACCAGGGCCCTCTGGCATCCCAAGCGAGTTCTTAACCATCGCGCCACTCGGCCGGCCCTATCTTATAATAATTTAACTCATTGATAGCAGTAGAATTTTTTGAGGGGTAAATTTTACCAGTTTTATGAATAACAGCATATATCATATTTGTCCTATAAACAAATTTAATTCTGTATTATTTCTGTTTTCTCGCAAAATAATATTAAGCAATTCTTTTTTTATTTTTATAATAGTAATGCCTAAAATTATGAAGTACTCACCATAGGCCAACACTTTACAGAAGTGAAATCATTTAATCCTCACAACACTAGGAGGTATGTGTTATTTCCAAATTTTACAGACGGGAAAACTAAACCACAGAAAGGACGTCAGGGGGCGGGATATCATCACAGTTAAATATGTGCATCCCTTTTCAGAAGGACTGGGTTAGTGTTAATTCATCTATTATTATCTGTACATACTTAGACAAATGACTTACCTTTCATGTGCTTTAGTTTTCCCATCTGTAAAATGGGGAAATAATACCACGCGCCTTGTAGTGTTGTGAGAATTAAATACCGTCTTTCCTCTGAATGGCATGTTAGACTCTCTTAACAATATGTTGAACAATCTGCCCACATATTGCTCATTTTGTTTCTTTCCATTATCAGTAGTATTTTCAATGAGACAACTCTCTCAGAAAATACAAAGTACTACTTGATAATTTAGTTAGTACCTTACATTTTGGGGTTCAGTAAACAATATGACACCCAAAGACCGGCTCCAACATTGTAATTTTTGGAGCCTAAGTAAGGTACTTCAGTCTCCCAATGAGAAAGTGATTTCAAATTAAACCCAGTTTCCAGAATTATTTCATTCTGGTTAAAACTCTAGCAAGTGCTTTTTAGCACACTACAAGTGTTAAGCCCTAAGTGGCAAGCTTACATGATACACCTTCTTTTTTATTATGTCTTTACTTGGTTTGAATGTTAATTTCCTTTTCCACATTGTTAAATGCGTTTAACAGCTCAAGATATAACATAAAATGGTTTTATTGCTACAGCTATTAAAATTGTTCTGGCTTAAAGTCAGAAACAACTTGATCAAAATCCTAAGGATAAGAACAATAAAATGTTGCATGCAAGTTTAGTCTGTTTAGAAGAGCTTTTGTCATTGAGAAAATGAGCATGGATCAAAACTGATTGTTTTCCTGAAAAATGACTTCTCATTTTAAAAGTCCACCATAACTCAGTCGGCTCCCTCTCTCGTGACAGGCACCAGCATATTCACAGTGTACGAGGCTGCCTCACAGGAAGGCTGGGTGTTTCTCATGTACAGAGCAATCGACAGCTTTCCTCGCTGGCGTTCCTACTTCTATTTCATCACTCTCATATTCTTCCTTGCCTGGCTTGTTAAGGTACGGTAAAAATTTGTCCTAATACAAGCTATGTTTTCTGACAGTTTCTGCAGAACTTTTGTTTGTTTTTGGATGCCCACTGCTTCTGCATTCCCAGTCTTTGGTAAATGTGGTTTTGTAATTTTCTTTCAGAATGTGTTTATCGCTGTCATCATTGAAACATTTGCAGAAATCAGGGTACAGTTTCAACAAATGTGGGGATCGAGAAGCAGTACTACTTCCACAGCCACTACACAGGTACAGTATCAGGCAACAGTGTTACAACCCACTTGAACATGGACATACCATCCTCACCATCCATGAGACTTGAAACTTGAGGGAGTCCTGTTATAATGGCCTTCTACCATCAGACTCACTAAGGGAGTTAATAAAAAGTAGAAGTGCAAAGGTCCAAACCCAAAAGAACCAAATTAGGCTTTCTGGGTGATGGGGTAAGGGCACCTATATTTTTATCAGCTCCATGGGTGGATTTGATGCAAAACTAGGATTGTCACCACATTTATTATGTACCTTTGGTTTAATTCGGCCATCACAAGCCCTCAAAGGGCTTGAAGATAAAATATGGAAACTGCAGATAAAATTTTCCCATTTTTGTAAGTATTTATTTATTCATGTAATTGAAAACCAATACAATTGTACTTATGTATAGGATTAGAATTTTTGGAATGGAAAATATATTTCATTCAGGATGAACCAATCACAGCATAGTAAATCATGAAGAACGCCCCTCAACCCCAAATGCATGCCTGTTATTTTTGAAGAATTGCTGTATATTTGGAAGGGTTCTTCTATGCCCCCAAGAAATTGGGAGTGCCCAAGAATTTAATTAAAAACAGCAGGGCAGTTGTTCATAAAAGGGCAATTCAAATTCAATGACTTTATTTTTATTTTTTATTTTGTTTTGTGTTTTTATGTTTGGTGAAGAAAGTGGAAGGACAGGTTAATATATCTTATTCTAGTATGAATCTTTATAAAAAGAGAAAACTAAAATTCATGAATTGAGAACAAAATGATTTTAATGCCTTATAACTATTATTTTAACATTTTTTTTCCTAAAACTTTAAGTTTGTAAATACTTACACAGGTCTATTGGTACAAAGGTATTTGTGAAAGATCCAAGGTACACATTTTATTTTTAAAATATTCAAATTAGACTTCTAATAATTATATGCTAAAATGCTATTAAATATGCTAATATTTGGGAAAGCCTTATGCAGCATCTTTATGATATTGTGAAAGTTTGAATTGTCTGACCAATTAATTATAGATGAAATAGTATTAATATTGTTCAGTTTTGACAAACAACTATTCAAACTTCCATGAAAGATTTAAAAAATATTATCTAGGTTATTTCAAAGATGGCATATAGGAATACCTTCAAAGAGGCAACCACATCTAGTTTTCATTTCTTCTCGTCTCTATTAGTGAATTATGAGATAAGGTCTGAGTCCATTCTGTCTTTAAGTCGGGTGACAGTCTCTCTCAAAGGTGTATTTTTTGTTATCTCTCTCTCTTTCTCTCTCTCTCTCTTTATATGTATATATATATATGTATATATATATACACACATATATGTATATGTATATACATATGTATATACATATGCATATATACATATATATATGACTAAATGGAATATAGAACTGTGACCTCAGCACAGAATTTACATCAGTGTTCCTGAGAGATGACCTAAAATGACCATAATACACTTTAAAGCCATATTATGTTTATTAAGTAACTCTTATTTATGAAGCCACAGCTGGAAAAATAGTGTTTAGAAGTGCCACCAAATCAGCCAGCAGTTATAATAGAAAGTGAAATGTGAAGAGACTGTTAGCAGAGTTGTACAAAGTTGTTTTCATTAGAAATTGTCATTAATCTGGAGGAATAGGTTGATAATTCAGAGGTAATGTGTCTAGGTATTCAGCAGAGGTAATCACACAGAGAATCGTGAAAAACCTTCATTAAGAAAAATGCTGTGGCTGAGGACCCAGTTGCCAGGCAACTGAAGCTCCTGCAGCAACCTCTTGGTAAAACACCACTTGGGCTGCCTGGCAACAGGCCCAGGCCCCGCCCACCCCCTCCCAGACACTCAGCAAGTGGCCCAGATGGTTTTGTGTGTGTGGAAGGGACAGACGTCATTTGCTGTGATTTTGTTACATTTGTAAAATCTGACACAACTCTGTGTGCAAGAACCTCTTGTTAAATGATTTAAAACACTAAATCACGAGTTTCTAATTCTAACAAAACAGGTAGGCTTTAAGAAAATAAAATAAGGATGGTTATTGTATTGTAAAGCACATAGCTGTTCAGAAATGAAGTCAGTTCCTGCCTATCTCTAATATGTAGAAAAATTTGCAGTTTTTCTATATAAGTTATCCTCATAGAAATGCTAAGAGAGCCCCGGGCTTGGTGAACCTGTTGATGTTTAAGTCTACGGACTTTCCAGGAGGGCTGTGTATGTAGAAAGAAAACCATACACATTAAGAGAATAAGGAAGGGGCTTTCGGACATCTTAGGCAGTTCAATAGGAATTGAAACTGATATGAGCTCTCTTCAAAGACAAAAGGGAATTTGTGATGAAAACTGCTGTTTTGTTTTGTTTAGTTTTGTTTTTAAATAGGAGGAGGCAACCTGCCTCTGAGTCACAGCATAGAAACCAATTACAGAAAAACTAATGCCAGAGGTCTTATGGAGACCGTGATACAAAATGTAACAGGAAAACAAAAGGAAAATAACGTGAAGACGTTCAGATTAGGTATCATTAATTTGCCTGAATCCCGATGGGGATGGCGACTTTCAAACCTGTATAATTATTAGACACAGATCATTGTTGCCACATGCTCAGTTATACGTTGGGTTAAAGTACAAGAGATTCATACACCTATGATATAATAGCTCCCTGTGTCACTCAACAATAGGACTAGTCATGCCACAGTTTTCTAGGGGTGTTACCCAGAACTGGATGTTGGGATGTGCAGATGTGCTGGTAGATGTACTGGACATAGTATCCCTCTAGTCCAGACCTTCCCTCTCGTTCCTTAGATGCTTCCCCTCCGGTATCTGCTGCCAGCCCTGTGGCCTTCTGACCTAGACTGATTCATGGTCATGATGAACGTATCTCACTTTGGAGTAGGACTGAAAGAGCTGCTAAACTTTAGGGCCACACAAGGCTACTTTTTTATGTGTAGTGATGGGACACAAGGCAGGCTCTGGCAATCAATACATACCTTTTATATGTGAATCATGATTCAATAGGGTCATATGGGTTTGGTAAATAAATATTCTGATTGTCTAAAGAGAGTTGTAATTTCTGGGTCTGGTTCAGCATTCTTGCTGACCCATGTTTTCTGAATTAATATCCCCTAATTAAGATATAAGACTAGTAAGGGTAGAGTTGATATAGGATAAAAGGATACTTATGAGTTCTTCCTCTGTAGTTCCATGAACGTTCTTAAAATATGGGTTCCTACAATACCTAAACAGCTTCTGTGTGAATATGTAATGCTGGGTTAAAAGCAGAAATGCATACATGAAAAGACATATGGTCAAAAATAGAAAGAATTTCTCCTCCAATAAAGACTATGTATCACATAAAGATGATACTTTAGTAAAAACCTGTTTACTGTATTCTAAGAACATCGATTTCCACATGAATATACATCATTAAAATAAGTGAGAAGGCAATTTAATGAAAGCAGTTTCTGGGAAGAATTATTCTAGCATGGTACAATGGTGAGCTCCTTCTAATAAGAAATCATAGTAATGGAATAATACATTCATCATAGGAAGCCATAAATGAGAATTAAATTTTGTGAAGCTGAGTCATTGAATATATCATTTAATAATGAAATCAAATCAAGTGCCCACTGTCATTATTTTGTGTAATAATGACTATTACCTATTTTAAAATGATTTTGAAGGAATCCAAAGAGCATATTAATTTCAAGATAAATTTTAGATTGTGTGTGTGTGTGTGTGTGTGTGTGAGAGAGAGAGAGAGAGAGAGAGAGAGAGAGAGAGAGCACTACAAGAGACAAAAAGCCCAAAATAAGTGGCTTATGTAAAATAGAGTTCCTTTCTCTCTCATCTAAAGTTGGAGGCAGTCATTTGGAGTTGGAATGGTGGTCTGTGTTGCCACGGATCCTGACTCCTTGCACCTTTTTGCTCCACCTTGAGTAGACTTCATTCCCAAAGTTGCCTCTTGGACTAAGTTGGCTGCTGTAGCTCTAACTCTCACATCCACATTCCAAAAAGCAGGAAGGAAAATAATAATAATAATAGAAAGTTTCTGCTTACATTTCATAGGTCAATCTGTAATTACATGGTCAAGATTAGCTTCAAAAAGAAAAGAAACGAAAAGAAAAGAATTAGCCCTTTTCCCTGGTGATTTTTATTTTTTTACTTATTTTTTGGTAGCCTAGTGGTCCCGTAAAAATTTTCTTACTTTGGAAGACAGGGAGAAGCGATATGGAGGGGGAACTGGAAGCCCCTGCCTCATGCCCCTAAAGACTTGGGCCCTTGAACATCCTTGGCTTCAGATATCCTGTTGTCTATGTCACATAGCTACTGTCACATTAACCAATCTAGATGTTGTTTCATAATTCAGGGACTAAAGAGAAATTGAACATGTTTGCATGTCCTTCACTTTGTCTCAGACAAAAACATGACCTTGAGAGAACACTTTTATTAACAATTTAATTGATTCATTTGATTTTGGTCTACTGGAAAAAAAATAATTTAACAGAGAAAATTGGTCTGCTACTGATCAAAGCAAATATATGCCCCAGGGATCCTTTGTGCCAGGATAAGATAGCACGGGATGCCTGTACAGAGGGTGGTTAGCTAGTGACTGACAGGATTGCTTTTGTCTTTTTCTCCTTAAAAGGAGAATCCTGGAATTTTGACAGGAACTTTAAAAGACACTTTAACAGGTTTGCATTTCAACCAATGTATATATTCTCAGAATGAGCCTATTTATGAGGGATGTGCTTGATTCTACCACTAAGAATAAAATTCATTCTAAAGGAAACCAGATTCCTGTAAATGGACACCTGAGGAAAACAATGTGTAATTGGCTTCTTTGATGAAAGAATCTTTGTGTCAATGTGCACCTCCATTTTGTCATTTTCAAAACACATAACATGATTTGTGAATTTCGGCTCTTGCCTCTCACCCCCTCACTTATTTTATAAAGGGCAAGTTTTCTTTCTGCAAATGACCCAATACCTCTACTACTGGGAGTTTGAAATTATGATTATAAATCCTAGGTGATAGGTTCTTTGTATCATCTCATATTTCCATCAATAATTACTCTTTTGAACAGAGTCAGACTAACATGGGGACATAAATAAGTATGGCAAATGTGTTTACCTTTGTGTAGGAAACAGCGACCTTGGGCAGGAATAAAACAGTGAGTGCTTATAGTTAGTGTCTTTTCTTAGAAAAATAAAAATCCTTAATTTCACCTTATCCCAATATCATTTGCCTCAATACACACACACACACACACACACACACACACACACACACACACACACACACACACACCCCGCTAAGGAATTGAAAAGAAAATGGGAAAATATTTATAAGTGGGAAATGTCTTCCAACTGAGTGTAATATTGACAGATGACTAATTTTTGAGGTAGTAGAATATGCAGCAAAATAATAACCTAGATATCGAATTGAATGAATGTTAGATTTTAGTATCTTGTACCATAGTATGCATTTTAAGCCAAAAGAAACTTTAACCCCTTTATAAATATGTACATAAAATTTCTGCCGAGCAGATTAATTTGGCCTAAGTTAAAATAACTTCACAAAGTCTATTAAATGATGTGTCAGTCTCCTGTCATTAAAATAACACCAGCCTCTATCCCTATGCCTCATGCACAGTTCTTATATTATTTATACTGAGAATGTTTTTCTATTGGCTCAGTGAAGAATGTCCACTAAATAAAGATAAAAATTCACCACTTCTAGTAAAAACACACCAGGCACCATGCTTTGGAATTCTAATTTTCATTTTCTTCCAGGTCTACTATGTAACCATCAATAATCAATGTAATGGGGATAAAATGGCTACTTTACAGTCTTGTGGAGAAGACTCTTTGGGCAATTATATGCAAAACATGTAAGGCAGAAAGAACCTGATACATATAGCAAGTGCTCAATAAATGCAAGCTATCACCATTATTCTTGTTACTATTATTTACTTAGGTTTTCAGTATTAGAATGAACATAATTGGAGTGACTCATGTTTTAAATATAAACCCTTAAGAAGACAAATCTTTGATGACATAAAAAAATATACAAAGCTTGGAGACATAAAGTTACAGTTCTCATTGTTCTTTATTAAGTGTCTCTGACTCATCTCCCTCTTTGCCTTGAAGATGTTTCACGAAGATGCTGCTGGTGGATGGCAGCTGGTAGCTGTGGATGTCAACAAGCCCCAGGGACGCGCCCCAGCCTGCCTCCAGGTGCAGTACAACGCCATTTTTAAAACTCACCCAGCAAAGCTCTTCAACTTTTCTTTTATACGAGGAAATCCACAGCTCTCCAAGCTAGAGATCTGCCCATATTTATGGTCCTGGAGTCAGGGACAGTATTTTACTCCGTCCTTTACTCCCAGGATTTACCAATTTTTAGAGACACAGTGGGGATTTGGTAGCTGGTGAATAAATGCACACAGGTAATACCAATATGCCAGGAGTTTTGAATCAGCGAAGAATTTTGTTGTCATGTTAAATCTTATAAAAATAGTCTTCTACAAAGGCCTGAATTATTTAGAGGCAGGCGGTCATGATCATAATTCACTTGAATAATTCACTGAATACCTGGGAAAGAATATCTTTAATAGGTAGTGTGTTGTTTTGCATCTGCAAGCTCTCTGAGCAACGGGATATAATAAAGGTGCTTCCATGACAAAGTGCACCTACAGTAAACATGAGGCGATGGAGTTGCAGGTGGGCCCCCAGAGTCCTGGGATGTGATCAGGGGGTGGGTTATCAGATCTCTGGCCTGTGGACTTTCTGGATTTATCATCTGCTCTGAGCTCTTCATAAAGCCAGTGAACTCCTTGTTTTCTTTGGTGGACCACACTGGCATCTTGGCATCTTCTCTTTCTTTGTTCCCACTCCCTGCACCCAAATATCAGTAATTCTTATTCAAAACCATGTCACATTCCCAAAATTGGCACCCCTGCCACTCCATGGCATTAACTTCCTCTTTAAGGATGAAAAGGCAAGCAGCCCCATTGTGGAAACAGAGAGAACTGATTCTTTCTCCTGGTGAATTTTATTTTCTTCACTGCCTTTTGTTTTCAGTTACAAATCCTCTTCTCACAAGGGTTGCTTTTTATAGTTCTTCATATCACTCCCATAACTTTGAGAAGGGCTTTTCATCTGCTTCAGGATGAGGATACACTTTCTTTCTTTTAGACCTTTCTCCAGGTTAGGATTCATACATTTTAAGGATTCGTACCTAAGAAGCAAAATATTGTACTCTGGACCATTACTGCAGGCTATATTTAAATGACCATTTAATCATGTAATTATTTTGTTTCTATCAGTTAAAAGGATAGAGGGGGAAAGAGGAAGAGATTTCAGTGAATATTGATAATATTTAATATTTTGTGGCTCTCTGTTTTATACTTGATAGTAACAATGTTGCTAATAATTCAACTACTCTAATAGTTCAATTATTCTAATAGTAATAACAATAACAGTGGTCGTCGTAGTGTAGTTTCCTGCTTATAAAGCATTTTCACTTTCGTTATTTGATAATCCACTAATATTCATTGGCACTAAGATTGTCCTGAACAAGATTAACACGGCCCCTTGGAGCTTACAAGGTACTTACGGGTGGGAGGAGAAAAACCAGCATTGAACTAGCAGTTACAAGAGTAATGGGGATTTTAAAGATGTAATGAAGGATTACATTTTTAAAGGAGTCCACTCTCCTTGTCTGAGAGGTCAGGGAAGGTATTTAAATCGAGACCAAGAGAATGAGGAAAGGAGCAACTAAGGAGGAGGTGCAGTACAGCCCTGAGAGGTAGAAAGACTGGCATGCTTCAGCTGCCTTTATAAATGAGGAAGTGGAGACCCAGAGGACCTGGGTGAGTCTCCTGAAGCTAAAATTACACCTCAACCAAATGGAGAGGCCAGGACTTGTACCCAGGTCTTCTGGTTCCCAGTCCCATGCTTTGTCCAGCTGAAAAAGTATGCCAAGGAAACATAAGTTGTAATGCAAATAAACCATCAGGCCTGTTGTGAATACCAAATTGAAGTCCTACTAGCAGTGCTAAAAAATCTGTAAGTGCTTGTTAATAGATGCCTCAAGGTTGCAATCTAGAATTAGGAAGCAAGTTAACCTCCCTAGCTCAAAGATTTGAAATGGCAAGGGATAACTGGCAAGGAGGGTGTAATGGAGGGGACAGCACTGAGCAGGGATACGGGAAAATAAAGGTTGGTGGAGAGGCAGGTAGAGGTTAGGCTAGAAGTGTGTAGATGGGACATTCAGGGGGCCTATGTATTAGACATGTGTTATGAACATGGCAGCCTTGATAAGTTTATGAATAATGATGCATGTATTTTGAAGCAAGGGGACAAGAAAGTCAGACATTTTAGTATGAAGGAAGTGCCTTTCAGCTCGGCTTCACATGTTTGGTCCTAAGCCATGTGTTCCAGAAGGATCCAATTCAAAAGAATATGGATGAAAAGTGGTATGTCCAAGAGATCATCTATTTGTAATGGGCATTAGCTGTGGAGAGAGAGTACATTGCCATGTCTGAGTAAAAAATTAATCATTAATTAAGAGAAAGAAAGGAAAGAGTTCAGTAAAGAAACAATATTTAAAATAAAATGGTCATGAAATACTCATTGGCCTTTACTAATGATTAATGCCATCTAAAACTAGGCAACAGGAAAATTTTCATCTGAACCATCCACTTACTCAGTGTCTAGGATTATAATGATATCTCACCCTCAAGGACTAACAGTAGCATATACTCACTTTTTATTTATTTTTACTTTTATTTTTTTTAGCTGAGCCATCCTGCCACCTGTTGGCAGCTCAGTAGCAACTCAGCTCGGGCCGTACTCGAACCGCTGTTGCTCAGAGCTCACACTCTTGAGCGAGCTCTTAACCAACTGAGCCACTTGTCCAGCCCACCACTTTTTTGTTTTGTTTTGTTTTTTTGTTTTTTTTGTTAAGCTGAGCCATCCTGCTACCTGTTGGCAGCTCAGCGGCTGCTCAGCGGCAGCTCAGCTCGGACCAGGAATTGAACCTCTGTTGCTCAGAGCTCAAACTCTTGAGCGAGCTCTTAACCAACTGAGCCACTCAGCTGGCCCCACTTTTTATTTTTAAAATGAAACAATGTTCTCCTAAATCATATGTTAAACTATAGAAATAAAATTAAAAAATGTTTGCTTTAATTCCTTTCGACTTAACCTCCCTCATTCCACTTCCAGAGGTAACTTAGAAGTTAATGTTAAGAGCCAGTTCTTCTAAGACCCTTCCTTAACTGCTTCATTTATTTCGTATAAAACAACACGCCTGCCTCTAGGAGTCACTGTCATTTTCACAGTGTTTTCTCTTTCTAGAACACTCTACTCTCCCATTCACCCTTTATAATTCAGTTCAAACGTTGTCCTCAAAGAATAGATCAGCTACCCTGGTTATATAGTTCCATATCATCCTATATTTTTCTTTTGTGTTTGTCATAATTTTATTGAAATCAGTTAAAATGGTAATAAATCATTTAATGTCTGCTTCTCCAACCAGAGGTAACTCCATGACAGGAGGGAGACAGAGCAGTCATGGTCATTGACAGAACTATACCTGACACATGGAGGGTGCTTAAGTGGTACTTACTAAACAAGATAACAATCAAGTATTGTAAAATAATGACTCAGAAACTCCTTGACATGTAAAAAGTCTTAGTATTTGATTTCTCACTTAGAAGCAGCTGTATTTGTCCTCTTGGTCTTATCTCTAGGAACTAGAAATCGAGTGGATTATGGCAATAACACTACTTCTATAAAAACATTTATTTCTAAGTCTGAAACAAGTGGGACATTGGCAGTTTGTTTTTACAAAGTACTTTTCAAAGGTTGTATGGCTTTGGATAACCAAAAGGTTGGATACTTTTGCCAGCATATCTGTTCCAAAACTTGAAGACATAGGCTTGACAGGACATAACTGTGACTTCTGTTATGTCTTACCACTTTCAGAATTATTTTTATCTTCTTCAGCATGTGAAATAAATCGGTCTGTGTTTGGAAATGTAGTCTTAGTTGAATATATAACATTGTTGAAAAGACCTACACCAATTCCTATCTTAACAAACAAGTAGAATTTATTGGAATGAAACATTTGAACAGCTATAAATAAATCAAGTTAATAATTTTGCTATTGTTGAACTAAATTAGAAATATGAGACATCAGCAACAGCTGAGAGATGGCAAACTGGTGTCCCAGAGTCCCAGTTAGAGTATTAGGAATTGTGGATTTTTTTCCTGACAGTGGAACTTTGTTTTAAAATTTGACCCCAAGTTAAAAAGCAGAATATTGTATATATTCTCTTGCTTTTGTAAAATACAAAGATCTGGCAATAGGACTCTCACTCCCACATGGCTATAATTGGCCAGAGCTGGGCCGTGCGTGTTCCACTGGATTGTGTTCAGTTGCCATATCCCCTCAGCCTCCCAACACTCCATATTGGCTCGGTACCACTGGAAATGAGTTTTATTTATCTGTGGATCCTTACAATTACTTTTCTCCAAGTAGAAAAATATTTCTTTTAACTCATGACACTATAGTGGGAAAATAAACAAACTTGTAAATACATAAATATATAAATACATCCATAAATGAATGAATGAATGAATTGTTTGCAGAAGGGAGAAATGAATCTATTTCTTTGTAGAAATAATGGGCTATCCCTATGTGTTTAATACATGACTCTGGGACTGATTTTCTCATTTGTACACACTTTACCTGCTGGGTCCCAGGGGGCATTTGTTTGGATGACCCATAAAATAAATTATAGTAACGTGACTTTAGATCACAATGATGGTATTATTTGCATAAATTTCAATTATTCCAAAGTAGTCTTTCCATAAATTTTAGTTTTTCAAAATTTTAAAATCATACCTTAGCATAAATGGAAACTGGCTCAAATTACCTTATAAATGAAGGACACTTAAAATTATCTTTATCCGTCTTTCAGGTGAAATTGCTTTGGATTTGCTAACTTTCTTCATTGGTACTATTTTGTATTTTTACTTTCTTTTCTGCTTCTGTATCCTAGTCTAGTTTATTGATATGAACATTTATATGTCTTCCCCACCAACTATAAGTAATGGGAGTAATTTAATAAAATGAGGTTGATTGATGTGGTTTAATCTTCCCTACTACTGTTAAACTAAATACACGTTGTGACTGATGCTTCTGTCATTCTGGGTGTTTGATATGTAAT